GGTGTATTTAATTCAGACAAAACCTTGTGAAATATGACTCCAATGATACTACGTTAGGACATAAAAATCATGGTTCAATGATTTTAATGTATCCATATAATAACTACTACTCATAATCTTAAATTGTGTTTTATTTATATATCTAATTTTTTCGCTCTATTTTTTTTGAGCTAATTTCGAAAGATTTACACTTTCTAACTTAACTAATTGAGGCAATTCCTATTTTTGATGTGATTTTTTTTGCCTCAGACTTTAAGAGAAAAATCGATTTATTATCGATGTTATGGTTCGCCAACATATTGTTATTCCCTAACTTGCTAACTATGCTGTTGGGTTATGATGTAAACTAAAGTGAATGAAGTTTTAAAAAACGACTACACAAAATTACGAAATCATCCAAACTAGAATCAATTCCTCATTTAGATTTTTATAAAATTAATATTAAGAAAAAGACCATTAAGAAATTGAAAAATGAGAATGAATCAATTCCTCATTTGGATGTTTTTAAAAATTAATATTAAGAACAAGACCATTAACAAATTGAAAAATGAGAAATGACAATTAGCAATGATAAATTAAGAATGATAAATTAAAGAATGCCAAAATTAAGAATTAAGAAATTGAGAAATATCGAAACTAAGAATGCAAAAATAAGAAAACAAGAATTTAAAAATTATGAATAAAGAATGATAATTTTAAACTAATTTAAAACTAAGAAAAAAAATAGAAATTTTTAAGAAAAGAATATTTACTCAAACAGTGTGGTTTGCAGTTTCAGTTCATACAACCATGGAGCCTACTAAGTAGTTTAAGGTCGTGCATGGATGGACATCGGCAAGCAGTTTAGTGTTGTTGAGGACAACTTAATGAAATACACCTGACCTTTTATATCACGACGTTTCTTGCTTGAAATGAAGTAGGAAGACAAACCTTTTTCTTAATAAAACCCAAATTAAACTATGTTTATACTATGTTTATACAATTTCCAACAACATACATATATGCAATTCACTCAATTTACAATCACTCACTTGAAATAAGGCCTAAATACAAGGGTGCGATTTGTATAGAGCCTAAGCTCTAAACAATCAAATTAGAGCCGACCTTCAAACAATGTCAAGAAATGTGGTTTTAATGTTGGAAATCTTTGTGATAGCCTTAAAATATATTGTTATATTTATTTATAAAATTTAAAGCTTAAAAAATAGTGTAGATCGAGATATCTATGAAAACTTGAAAATCTTGAAAATTGACGGTCCAAAAATGCATAACAAAATACACTATTTCCAAAACTTGCAATATATTATTTTCTCATGTCTGTGCATCTTGATGTCTGTGCATCTTGATGTCAAGATGATCAATTTGAAGATATTTGGGCATCAAAACAACCTCTTCTAGTGAAATTTTCGAGTAGGCTCAAATTTGATTGTTTAGAGCCTCAGCGCTATATAAACTTTTCCCTAAATACAATATCTACTCAAATAGTTCCATAGAGGTTAAGTACAATACAAATTTTACGTTTACTCATAGGTACGTGGGTTACCTCTGCAAGATTTAATTACACTATAAGTTATGACCTCTTCTGATAGCACAAGATTAAATGATCGAATTTTTTACAAAGAGACCATTTATCGTTTATACATGGAGGTCACAATCATTCTTGTCCCTTAAATTTCAAAATGAGCGGTTGTAAGAGTGTCATCGAATAGACACAAAGTTAAAAAAAAAAATAATTTCTCAAACTTCGTGACTCTTCCAAAGCCATCCAATTTGACATCCAATTTGAGTAGGAATGATTGTGACGTCTATGCACAAATTTTTTTTGAATTATTTTAAAGGTGTATGATAGTGAAAAGTATAAAATTGTACCAAACTTGAGCTTAATCCAATTTATAGAAAAAAAGGTAAAAAATAAAATATATTTTATACTCTAAAAAAGTGGGATTTGAATGAAATATATAGGATAATTTAGATTTAAAATACAAAATTTTCGGTAAATTTTCCTTAAAATTACATAGGTCTCATGCCGTTACATTATGTCTTGGCCTAGCAATTAAGTAGATAAAATAATCCATGTTTGACATGGTTGTTGTACTCAGGTTTCTCAATTACCTCTATTAATGACTATGTTCTTTTGGTAGTTTAGCAGAGATAAAGTCCCGTACCAGTGGTAGGAATGAATTCAAGACCTTATATTGTAGTACCTGCCATCTTGACCACTTATGCCTTGTGCCTATTCATGCTTAGCTCTTTCTAGAGACCACTTTCCCATTTTTTCTAAAATCTGATGCTTTTTAAATCATCAAGAAACCGCTTGAATCTTTGATTCAGATTGGATTTAAAAATTATTCGAGTTGTCAAGCTTTGCTCCTGAATCGCCAAATACTATTTTTGTTTGATATTTTTAGTAACTTTTCACTAATCATTTGCAGATGTGGCCGATCCGAGTTAGTAAAAACCAAAATCCGATATTGGTCTTCTAAAACAGCAATATGTAAGCTAGCTCTAAAAACTTGTGTGGACTAAAATAACATAGCGTATATTGCTTGGGCACCTATGTGGAAAATAACGTACATTACTTTGGCACGTAACTTATGCCAGAGCAAACGTAAGAGAAGAGGGAAATTTAATTACCAACTCGACTTTTGAAATTGAAAAGTAGTTCATAGTTTTGGATATTTTGTAGTGAGTTTTTAAAGTTTTGTTCGATTCCGATTATGGAGCTACCCAAAATGGAAAAGGATTTAGATTTTAGAACTTTTTGTTTCTTTTTCTCTTAATCCGAAATTTCAACTTTTTGGATGGCTCAAAATATTATAAAAAAAATTAAAAAAAAAAAGAAAGAAAGAGAAAAGACAAGTATTTAGACGGCTCAAAAATTCAACTTGCGAAAAGAAAAAAAGACAAATATTTAGGCGGCTCAAAAGTTCGACTTTCGAACTACTCAAACGCTCATTTTATTTTATTTTATTTTGAGCACCAACTTTCAAACACCCCAAATATTTATTCTTTTTTTATTTATTTGTCATATGTTAGGTTGTTCAAAATAATCCAACATTTAAACTACCTAAACACAATCATTTTTTGTCATACTTTCAAACTGCGGACCATATTCGAGTAGAAACATATAAAAGAACTTGAAAATTTTTACACACCATGATATATACCAAATATAGACGTATTTTAATTTCCAAAACTATTTTGGGTATTGTTATTAAATAAACAAAAGAGCCCATAGAACTTAATTTTATCAGGTCTCATTTTTTTTTTTTCGGGTAATTTAGTGGGAAGACAGGCCCGTATCTAGTTTTTCAAATAGATTAGGAGTTGGCTTTTGGAAGGTATAAGTGGTGGGAATGAAAACCACTAGACTAAGGTCCCCTTCCCCTTTCCCAAACTAATAAGAAGATAACCGGATCTAATGTCTAATAATCAAGAACCAACCCACAATTCATAAAGGAAAAAATTTATGTAAGGGTGAGGCACTAAACAATCAAACTTAAGGTACATGTCAAAAATTTACTAGAGATTATTTTGATGCTATAAACCCTTAATTCATCCCAACTTCAAGATGTTTGGACATGATAAAAGAAAATTTTCAAGTATTGAAAATAGTGTATCTTGTAATGTATTATCCAGGCTGTCAATTTTCAAGATTTTTTAGTATTCATAGATCTTACCTATCTATACTATTTTTTAATTTTCAAATTGTATAATTAAAGACAAAAACAAATATTCAAGCCGTCACAAAGATCTATAATACTAAAACAACATCTTTTGGCACTATTTGAAGGTGCGCCTTATATTGTTTGGTCAGGGCCTCACTCTTATACAGACCTAATCACCGATGATACGGCTGATTTGTTTATGTGCAAACAAACTAAATGCTCATGGCTCGTTAGAGAGAGAGAGCACTGAGAAGGGCCAAATCTCAATATTTTTTGTACTTTCGGAAGATGCACCAATCTCTATATTTTTGTGCTTTCTCATATCCATTGTGGAAAGAAGCAATAAGAGCAAATTTGCATCTAAAACTCGGTTTGGATTTAAAGTTTTGTTCCTTCACATTGTAGTTTTTAAGAACAAATTTGCATCTAAAATTGGGTTTGGATTTAACGTTTCGTTACTTTTCAATCCTAATAACACCGCTGACTGTCACTTCTAAAAAAAATAACTCCTTAATCTATCTGAAAAAATGGTGGGGGATGCCTTCCCTTTCGAATTACTCAAAAAAAGAAAAAAAAAGAAAAAAAAGAAAAAAAGAAGAATCAATAACTGCTCCTTAGCCGTTTATGGGATGCTTGAATGGTGCACAAACACTATTTAATTATTCAAATTAAACCTTGTATCATCCAACAATGAAATATATATTTATATATAAAAAGCCTAGGCTCTGTACAAACCGTACCATTTAAATATTAACTAAAGGGTTTGTATAGTGCCGATTCTCTAAACAATCAACGTAAAACGCACCTTCAAATAATAAAAATCAATTTATTTTATTCAAAATATTTTTTATTATTGATTTAATTCATAATCAAAATTTTTTAATTAAAACACCAGATAAATATTATTTAAAAAATAAAAAATAAAATATAAAACTATTTTTAACCGTTGGATATGCTAATGTTTAATCCGAGCCATTGAACGGGTGCTATGCATCTTAAGCCCTATAGAACGTAACGTCCCCATAGAAACCGGTAAGAGAGAGAGAAATGAGTTGGGTAAAAAGCGGTGGAATGGTTGAGACATGAATCCACGTGTTGACTTTTTTGAAGTAGAGTGAGTTGTGACCACCATCGCTCCTAACTTTTTTACTCCATCTTCACAACCCCAGCTTCTATTCTTTAAAATATAACAAGAAAAATCTCATCATTTTAAACAAAAAAAAAAAAAAAGACAAAAAGCAAAAAAAAGGCGCATATGTCATTTTGATATATGTCAGGGGCTTCTAATGAGCATTTTCCTTTCTCTCCTAGTTCATAAGCAACAACCAAGCAAGCAAGCTTTCTCTCTGTCTCTGGTGTTACAGTAGAGCTGGTAGAACACAAAAGTGGCTGCTTTGACCTATGAATTGTCCCATATTGATTAATCTCTCTCTCTAAGAATCCAAACAGCCATGGTTGCAGCTCAACATCAAAGCTGGTATGCCATCTTTCCTCCTCCCTTCTCTTTACTCCATATTTAGGGTTCTAAGTTAATTCAAATTCTCTTCTTACTTCTTTCCCATAATTTTCCCCTTTTTAAAGTCTAGGGTTTTTGTTCTCTTCCTTTCTCTGTAATTTTCTCCATGGCCCATATTTCAGAGAGCTTAGATTTGAATTCTGAGGCACCCCTCATAGAAGATGAACATGAAAATCCTAGGGTTAATAAACATGCATCTCAAATTGTGGACATAGAGAGGGAAACCTCTTCAATTGATGAATCAAGAGGCAAAGGGTTGGGTCTCTCTCTTTCTCTCTCTATTCCAAACGAGAGTAGCAGAGATCCAAGTGTTGAAGTAAGGGAGTCTGGTCTTTCGCTCTCTGTCTCTCCGTCAAATGAGAATAACAGCACCCCAGACGAAGTTAGAGAGGCTGGTAACGATGGCTGTCAAAACAATGGAGAGGAAGAAGAAAAGGAGGTGATGAGGAAAGAAGAAGAGTCGGTAACTCCCCGTACGAGACCTAGAAAGAATACCGCAATAAAAGATAAGGAGCATGTCAATATGGAATTACCGCAAGGAGAAAGAGGGTTTTGTGCAGGTGATCTAGTGTGGGGTAAAGTAAAGAGCCATCCATGGTGGCCTGGGCAGATATTTGATCCGTCTTCTTCGTCCGAAAGGGCCAGAAGATATGAAAAGAAAGATCACCATCTCGTCTGTTATTTTGGGGACCAAACCTTTGCGTGGTGCAATGAATTTCAATTGAGACCTTTCCGATCCAATTTTGAGCAAATGGAGAACCAAAACAGTATGGATGCGTTCCTTGATGCAATAGATGATGCATTGGAAGAAGTATCCAGGCGAGTTCAGTTAGGTCTCACCTGCTCTTGCTTGCCTGAAGAAGCTTGTAACACCCTGAAATCAAAGAAAGTTTTGAATGCAGGATTAAGACAAGAAGTTACTTACCCTGATGAAAATGTCAGATCTTTTCCGATCTCTAGTTTTGAAACAGAAGGGTTTCTGGACTATATCAGAAAGCTGGCTGTGTCGCCCTTTCTGGGTGGTAACAAACTAGAATTTTTTAACTTTCAGGCTCAATTTTCGGCTTTTCTCCGTGCAAAGGGTATCTCAAAGCTAGCTGAATTTAAAGACAATGAAAAGATTTTAGGGCACGATGATGAATCCTGGTTCATAGATGAAATTGAGGGGACCGATCGAAATTCAGCTCTTATAAAAGAGAAAGGCCAGGTTTTGCAAGAGTTAGAAGGGAGTAAAGTCGAGGAAACAGAGCGTTTGAACTCATCCCAGTTCCAGAGACATTCTCCAGAGGATGGTTTGTATGCTAATAGAAAGCAGCGGAGCATGGATGAACTATTGGCAGAGAAGAGAGAGAAGAGTGTTAGTTCTCGTGAACTAAAAAGAAAAAGGAGAAAGACGGGCACTAAATCTCCTAAACTGATGGCTGGAAAGAGTGAGACGGTTGGTGGCTCTCGCTCTGGGAACTTCACAATAACTGGGGAGAAGGGAATTGCAAGGAAATCTGGTAATCAGAAGCCATTGAAGGTTGGGAAACACATAAGCAGTCGAAGCATAGCCGAGATAATGGCAAGGAAGAGGAAGGCCATTTCTAATCAGAATGGTGTAAAGACTGAAAGAGATATCACTTACAAAAGGCGTACTCGAGAGTTAGCTTCAGGACCAACTGCAGAAAAGTCGAATTCCACCGGATTTCTCTCACCTGAGCCTATGCAAAAGACTAAGAAGAGGTCTGCATCATTTAGAGAGTCCAGGAGTGAGGCGTCGCATTCTGTTAAAAAACGAAAGCCTGAAGTCTCTCTGTCTTCAGGCTCAAAGAAAAATAGGAGGCTCTCATCATCAAGTGCAGAAGTGATTGAGACCTTACATTCTGCTGAGAAGCATACAAAGGCCGGATCCTCTCATTCTCTGGAATCGAGACAAGAGATCGAGATACTACCTATGGCTAAGAAGCAAAGGGCCTCTGGGAGCTCTCTCTCCCCTTATTCAAAGCAAACCAGGAAGTCTGTATCTCAAAAAGAAAAGCGAACCAGGAAGTCTGTTTCTCAAAAAGAAGCAAATATGAAGGCCCCAACATCGTTCAAGGTTGGGGATTGCATAAGTAGAATCGCGAGCAGACTAACTGGGTCACCTCCAACCGTGAAGGAAGATGGAGTTTCACCTCTGATGACCACAGTTAGTGGAAAGAGGGGTAGAGGTAGACCACGAAAGACTAAAATGGAGGAAGAAAGGAGTGCAAATGGTCAGAAAGAGAAACTCGCCACAAGTGTGAGAGTTTCACCAGAGAACACCACAGATGGTGTAAAAAGGAGAGGCAGACCCCGTAGTGTTAAAAACGAAGAACAAAAGGTGAGAGTCTCACCAGAGAACATCACAGATGGTGTAAAAAGGAGAGGTAGACCCCGTAGTGTTAAAAACGAAGAACAAAAGTTGATAGTTTCACCGGAGAACACCACAGATGGTGTAAAAAGGATAGGCAGATTCCGTAGTCGTGCAAATGAAGAAAAAAAGGTGAGAGTTTCACCAGAGAACACCACAGATGGTGTAAAAAGGAGAGGTAGACCCCGTAGTGTTGAAAACAAAGAACAAAAGTTGATGGTCTCACCAGAGAACACCATAGATGGTGTTAAAAGGAGAGGTCGACCCCGTAGTGTTGAAAACCAAGAACAAAAGTTGAGAGTTTCACCAGAGAACACCACAGATGGTGTAAAAAGTAGGGGTAGACCCCGTCGTGTTAAAAATGAAGATCAAAAGGTCACGCAAGTTTTGAAAGATAACCGCACCAAGAACGAAATAGTTTTGACAAAGGAGACCACAGGAAGTGAGAAAAGAAGAGGCAGAGGTAGACCCCCAAAGGAGAAGAGGGAGGATGAAGAGGGCACACCAATAATGAAAGATCACCCCACAAGAAATGAGATAGTTCTGTACAAGACTACAGGTGGTGAAAAAAGGGGTAGGGGTAGACCACCAAAGGCTAGGAAAGAGGTAGAAAAAGGCACACCATTAGTGAAAAAAAATTGCACGACAAATGAAATGCTTGAGCAACTCGTTGCAGCTGCAAGAGATCCTGATGTACAAGAAGACTCTGCAGTTATTGGGTTTTTCTCTGCTTTCAGGAGCTCGCTTTGTCCTGAAGCTTTTAATCCTGAACAGACTGAGGAAATCCAAGAAAGTGAGAGGGATAATTCTATCGATATCAGAAACACCAGCAAACCAGAGAGAGAAAATGTAGAGGTGGGGCATAATAGGGAACCTAATCCAGGGGTGCAGCCCCAGGAAAAGAAGCTCGAATCTGTTGTGATACCAATAGTGTCAAGCCCTGATGATTCAGGTTCAGGAAATGGGGCAAAAGAGAATGAAGAGAAAGGGAAAGATGTAGATGGAAGTGAATGTAGTGAGAGAGAGGTGGAAGAGGAGAGCTCTCCTACTGCACTGATACTGAGCTTCACACAAGGGGACAATGCTCTTCCTTCTGAGGCAGAGTTGAACCAAATTTTTGGGAAGTTTGGGCCTCTCAAAGAATCAGAGACGGAAGTACTTCAGAAGTCTTGTCGTTCTCGAGTGGTTTTCAAGAGGCGAGCAGATGCTGAAGCTGCATTCAGTAGCGCGGGTAAGTTCAGTATCTTTGGGCCTGCTCTTGTGAGTTATAGGCTCAAGTATTCATCGCTCTCTAAGTGAGAAATCAGCAAGACAATGAGAATTTGGCTGCTATAAATTTTGATTGTAAAGTGTTGCAGTATACTGCACCCATGAAGAACATCTTGGTTGGATCTTTCAGGTAATTTTTCAAACTGCCTTGTATTGTTTCTTTCTTATTTATTTATTTTTGGTTCTCCTTTTTTCCAGATCTTTTCATTTATTTCTTTTCCTGATGCTTCTGAGGTTTCCTTAATCGTCTAAAATATGTTTTTGGAATATGGCTGATCTTCTTGTAATTGTAGGTGCTAGACCGGTGGGAAGAGGGGAGGAGAGGTAATTAGGTGTAACATCACAGTATTGTACCATTCTCTGTCTCTCTGTCTCTGTCTCTCTCTCTCTCTCTCTCTCTCTCTCTCTCTCTCTCCCCATGGGTGATTTTCTGTTGTCATAGAAGATGTTCAAACTTTTGGAAAGATAAGGAGTGGGAAAACCAGGCCAGTATATTGTTTTGTCCTCTGTTGTAATTGTAACCATCATCAGATCAGGCCAAATGCAATAAGGCATGTAATCACACTGTTTTTAGCACTCAAAGGCCATGCTAAAACCTCTTTCCTAGTCGTGTATCGACTACCATTACTGCTTTCTGTTTCATTTGTTGGCAAAGTTGGATCCAATTGTGGCCTACATGGTCCATACACCGGTTCTTTTTTTCTGTTTTCTTTTCAATTTCAAAAGGTGGAACTCGTTTCCATTTCCTATATCCTCATTTGGCATCTTAAGTTTGTTTAGTAACTTGTTTAGTAGTTAAGTGCTCATACATGGTCCATACACTGATTCTTCTCTTTTTGTTTTCTTTTCAATTTCCAAAGGTGGAACCCATTTCCATTTGGTTATTTAGTTATGAGTGTGGTTTGTATAAGGCTGACCTCTGAACAATCAAAGAAAGGTGTGGTGTTGAAAGATGTTTTAACACCGGAAATCTTTATGATAGTCGAACATCTAATTATAAAATTTCAAGCATAAAAATAGTGTAGATCAAACAGATCTATGAGCACTTGTGAATCTTTAAAATTGACGGTTTAGATAATGTATTACAAGATGCATTATTTTTCAAGACTTAAAAGTTCACTTTTTTATGTTCATGTATGTCAAGGTCAAGATGATTTGGTGTTTGAACATTGAAACTGATTCTATTGAATATTTGAGGTGCACCTTAATGTGATTGTTTAGGGATTCAACTTTATATAAACTGCACCTTAATTTGGTTGTTTAGGGTTTCAATCTTACATAAACTTTTTCCTTCAGTTTTTTTATTGCTGATACATGTGTCTGAATTAGGTGTGGCCTGGCCTATGTTTATACCCCAATTGGGATCTTATGCTTATTTACTTACCTGCTTATGATATGTGGTTTGAATTGCATCGAGTCTTTCCCTGCCTATACAAGTTACTGACAAGATCCTCTTATAAGAAGAATGTAATAAGGCAATGCAATGTCTCTTGAATATCAATGTTTTGAAAACCGGAACAGTTGTTGAACGGCTGCCGGGGCAGGTTGGAAATTGAATCAGAATGAACCCATTAATGAACAGTGAACCAGATAGAAGTGCAAAGGTTCAAGGAAAAAAACAAAATAGACAGGATACAAATTGATTGTTTGTGAAAAATGAAGGAAATCTTTGGTAATTTCAAGTTCTCAACATATTTATCTATGCAAGAGAGCGTACCAAGATTTTTTTTGGGAATAGTAATACATCTGACCCTCCCACTCCATAGTATGGTATTGGGATAGGATACTCATTGCCCAAGTTTATTCAAGGATAGCATGTGATGAGCTAATGTTATTGGGTATTCATTTTTAACGAAGGACGGTGTGTTGGGTTTTTTTTTTTTTTTGGGACGAAATCAATGTGGCATTCATTCTCCATTTTTATCTAAGGATGAGTGGCCACCCAAACTTTTTTGGCATGAAATGTTTTCCAACTCTGGCCATGGAAGCATGGACGGTGATGTGAATACAAGTTCCCAAATGCTATTTTTTTTGTTTTCAACATCATCAAAACGTTTGTTAATGAAAAATGTAGAACGAGCAATGCACCCCAAAAATGTACGTTAACTGAACAAACAAATGGCTGTTCTGGTCACCCAATGTGCCATAGATTGCAGCAATACCAGGATTTCTGATGACAATAGCATCAAAATTAAGTTCTAATCAACTGAAGGAGGAACAAGGTTTCTGAATCTTTCAAACCTGGCAAGCTGAAGGCATTACTATGAAAGATCTATCCGATGCAAGAATAGTGTACATGGACTTAACTTTATATACACCTTTGTGTCTTGGACCCAAATGAACTCATCACGCCAATGAGGGTGATGCAAGAAGAACTCAACATACTCTGCTGCTTTTCAAGTTGTCCCGCTATCAGGTCATTTACTCTCCTAGCTATGAGTTTCATTCCCCAAACTATTTCCCAACCCACTCAAGAAACCACCTCCTGCACTTTGGCATTTGGGCAGGGTGCTTTTGTAAGTAGTTCAGTGAAGAGATGATTAAAAGGATAGCTGCAAAACTGATTGTCTTTCCAAAAAGGAGTAGTCGCACCATACACAATTTGTTTTTTATGTTGGAAAATTGGTGGGTGAAAAGGAGAAAAAGGTGGTGCAAAATCAGAAAATTGAAGCTTAACTTTATTGTTTTCAGACACGAAGGAGTGCTATCTGGAGACGATATTTGTCATCTTCAGTACTTTATTTGTTGTGCATAAGGACAATTCGTCTTCGGGATACAGGAAAACAGAGATGTTTCTTTTGATGTTTTAAAGCTCTATGCACCCGAACTTGGAACCCACACACTAGACACCATAGTCTTATGAAGGTTCAAAGAAAGAAAAATGAGTAGACAGAGAGATGAGTCCATTGTTATCTCTGGTTTTTCACAAAAAAAAAGTATGTTGAGAGGCTCAAAGTGTGTTGGAAATTGTTTATCTTGTATGGCAGAAGGACTCGATTATATAGAGCTATAAGGAGGCTGCACATTTATTGTATTGGTGGTTATATGCACTACCAACAACTACATGTAACCACCACTACAAGTTACATGTACCTCTTTAACTCACTTGATGGTTGTTGTTACAACTTCCTTTTGCCTCAATTTCATCGATGGTTAGATGACCGTTGGCTATCCCGTACGAGTTGGGCTCACAAAAATATATCCAGCCTCGAGTTCGACCCACACACATGCTCGGATGAGGGGCGCCTCTTGCGTCGATGCGAGTGAAGTGCAAAGTGCGCCATCAAACGGCCTTGTGCCCACACCCTCACACACGCATGTGCGAGTGTGCATCACATGCCGTACGTGCTTCGTACATACACTATCTCTCTCACTTTTATACTAAGAGTATAAGGCATGTGAATGCATACTCTTAAATGCAACTCATAATTCTCTCTTCTTCAATGTGAAATTCAAACCTACAATTTTCACTCTCTACAAAAACTAGAAAAAATCACGAAACCATATTGTTGTTTTGAAATACACAATTATTTTTTAAACAAAAAATACTGACATCCTATTGTAGCTGAAAAATAAAAGTTTGGAAACTTGATAACAATCCCCTTTGGTTGACTGATTGGAGCATCAAACTAAAGGATTCTGCCGCCAAATTGAAAAGGAAAAGCGAGGAATACTCCTTGTCGAATACCACTAGTACCCCTGAAATGACCTTCTGCTTTACCTCAATCAATGTGGGATAATAGGCACTGGACAAACAACCCCTCACCCGCTTTCTCCATCACTCACTAAACCTCATATTTGCGTTGGTTTCTATCAAATAGTCTCGATCTGCCTGATTAAGCATCTTCGAAGTCCAACTTGCACATATTATCAGCCTGCTCAAAACACTTACTAGAATGAATATATTCTTAATTTATAAGAATATTATCCGTGATTTGTCAATCGTTGATGAAGGCAAATTGGAGACCCAAGATGAATATGTCCAAAATATTTTTAAGTCTATTAGCTAGAACTTTTAGAATAAGCAAAAACGGCTTCTTTGATTTCATCTAGTGAGAAAGGGGCTTCCAACTCAATTATCCGGTTCTCATTTGACTTTTAAATTATAGGTCATCAATTGATAATTTCGGTCGGAAGAATTTTGAAAAGCTTTTTTTCAAATGATTAGTTGCTTCCTTGAAGGACGTTTATTTTCCTTATCAATTGCTTCTATATGCCATCCCTAACAAACTTCTGCCTAAAATAATTAATATTACAGTCCCCTTCTTTTATCCATTTGGACCTAGATTTCTGAAACCAGGAAAGCTTCTCTTTTATCAACCAATTATCCAATTGCATTTCTAGATTTGAACATAGGCTTGCCCGCTCTTCGATGATACCATTGAATTCTATACATTGGAGTGTAAGAACTGGATTTTCCTCTCTGCCTGTTTAACTTTACTAGAGATATTATCAGACACCTCCTTACTCTACTCTTGCAGTTGGTGCTTCATAGCTTGCAACTTCTTTGCAAATTTAAAGCCCTGTAACCATCGATTTGGACATTTTCCCAGACGTGCCTAATTATTTGTTTGAGAACTTGTTCTTCCAACCAAGCTAACTCAAATCGAAATCCATAGCAACCATCATCAATGTTCATGACAATTGGATATTGTCTGAAGCCAGTTCTGGTAACCCAATAATGATGGCACGAAGGAATAAAGCTTCCTAGAGTAGAGTCACTAGAACTCTGTCTATTTTCAACACTTTGAAGTTTTAAGGTTGTCCCATTTAACCATGTAAATTTTTTGCCAATGATAGGGATGTCCTTTAAATTATCAACATAAATAAAAGCATTAAACTTCTGATGTAGATAAAAAAGAAAAGTTTAAATTTACCTATACCACATTCTAGGCACAATATTAGAGTCGTGTGGCCAGCTAATAAGGCTAAATTCACCTATACCACACCAAGGAACCGAAATGCTATCGAGAAAATATATAATTTCAAGCAAAAAAGATTCTTTTAAATTGAGCTCTTTAGGCCCATATACACACAAGAACCAAAAACTGGCCTCGAGAAGGAGCTCAAGCAAAATAGAGATAGAAAAAGTAGAACAAGATAAACACATGACCCCTTGACAAAAATGCGGGTCCCATAATATACAAATTTCAGCAGATAGGGCTAGACTATTGAGTCAACTAGATTTCTGCCCTAAACAGATCTAATTGTCGCAGCGTCGACAGCCTAAAGCTTTGCTTCCTGAAGGACTATGCACGGTTTTTCTTTTTTGATAATATCTTCCAAAATGCGCATCCTCCTGTTACTTCTCAGACCCTAACATTCGACTATAAAATCTTCATTCCAACCTGAAGTTATACCTCTCAGTGCTAGCAAGGAAGGGGGGCTGTGTTGGATATGTTAACCTTAAGCGCTTCATCTTCCTTCAGAAGTTTGCACAATTTTCTTCAGTAGCCTCGCCATCAATGGAAAACTCAACAATGTCATTCACACATTCTTCCAAAGAGAGTCCCATATACCTCTAGCATGGTCGGGATCCCTTCCATTTTGTTAGCCGGCATCGTTCATTGTTTCATGGTCATCATCCCTTTATCAGAGCAAGACATGTTACAACACCACCCTCAAAACCTACATCGACACGGCATGTAGCCCTTGCACCATCGACTTCCTTCGCACCAACACCCTCATTAACTATATCCTGAATAGCAACCAAACTATGAATACCAATTCCCTCATCACTCTCAACTATGACGCCTTCGACTTTCTCAGCTTGAAGATGAGAACCTTCAACTACTTTCACATCAAC